TCAGTTCTCTCAGCACCAAAACTTGGAGCAATATTTGTGTTTTTGGAATTTATCCATTCCAGCATCTTCCATCTCTCCCTACTTTCCCTTCAATTGGCAGCCAGAACAAGTCTTGCAGCTGGCACCCTGCCCAAGTAGATGTCTCCAGTGCAGGAAGAGCTTCTTCCTCAGTGGCTTAGTCCTCCCTGAGCTCAGCTCAGTTGGGACATCCCTTCCAACAACCATTTCTACACCAGGCATTTCTAACCTAACTGCAGGCTTTGCATGGCCTCCTACTCTCTCGTGCTTCCTCAGCAAAGACAGTATGAGAAGGCCATGAAAAGCTCTCACTAAACCATATCCTCTGACAGAGACCATGGGAGCATTCTCCTACTGCTCGGATTTCTCCTTCTTTTATTCCTATCACGTAAGTCTTCCTGAAATCATATTCAGATCTCTGGCAGCTCTACCCCTGGCATTATTATTGGCCACCAGTGCCATCCTGCTCTTCTGCTCTGCACCTGGCACAAGTGAACTGTGTCTTGTGAGCTCTAGATCTGTCTTACTGGAGAAGATACAGGGTCATAAAACAGATATTCATATGCCAGAAATGAATGTTTGGACCAGTGCATAAATATTGCAACCATATTCACAGCATGAGTGCTGAGAAAGCAACTTCTACAACTTAATGTCAAGAAATCATTCCTTTGTGAACTTTTTATGTAGAAGAAGAATATATATATATTCTCCTAAGTAAATTGTCAGTGTGAGCTGAGCTGCTGTCACCCTCACATATGCTGCTGGCATGTTTTCCATGTGGGGGAGAGGATGCTTGGTGGGGAGAGGGTGAGAATTTCCAGGAGATAGTCAGAAAAATCAGCCAGGAATGAGATTCATCACAGCTCATCTGTCAACACCCACCATGAAAAACTAGTCCTGTAAGCACTGCGTTCCTCACATCAAGCACAAGTGTGTGTTGTGCATTGAACAGGGCCTGGTGTTGCCAAAAATGAGTGTGTGAGTGTGGGAGGTTTTTTTTTACCTCTGAATCAGGGAAGGGCAGCCTCATTCCCCACTGAAGAAGGCAGAGCCTGCAGAAGAATATTTCAAGCTCTTGTTGCACAACACCAGTAGGTGGAACCTGTTTTGAAGGCAGGGTTGGAAATTAGGTCAGCCCCCCTCCTCCTTGCTCCCACTCTTCCTGCCCCCCACAGTCACAATGGGCAAAGATATAGGTTCTGTCATCATTTTTCAATCAGTATTCAGCTAAAGTTTTGGCTACTAGTTGCAGCAGTAGGAGAGTAGAACAGAGCTTAGAGATTTTTAAGATTCAGTGGGTCTTCCTTTTGAATAAGAATTACACCTAAAACCACAGTCTTTTGTTTGCCTTGGCATTATTTTTAAGAGTCTCAGCCAATGTGCAGTACCTTGTAACTTTGGATCCAGTTCCTGGCTCGTGAGTTGTTGCATGGCTCACCAATTACTAAGCCCAATCAGCCACTTATTTTCCTCACACACACAGCAGAAAAATATTGTTGAGATTCATGCTCATGCAGTAGCTGAAAACAACATACGGTATTTATATGTGATGGAAATAACGATTTCCTTTACTTGATTCCATCCATATTTCCTACTCTCTCATCCTGCAGTATAGGCTAGGCAGCTGATATAAAACACAGCAAGCAGATATAAAATATAACAATGTGTGTCAGCTAACACTGTCAGTTCAGTTCAGAAACTTTTACTGTACACCGGCTTACCCACACCTCCAGGCACACGACCTTTAGCTAACGATGCTGCTGAACAGGATTCTCCACCAGCAGAGGGCAGAGCCAGGGGTGCAGGCAGCGGCATATAAAACATGGATATGAATCTCAAAAGATGAATCTCAAAAGTCTTGTTCTCCTGATAGGAGAGGAACAGTTGTTTTCTATCCCTGTGTGCAGGAATGTACAGGAGCAAGAATATTCTGAACCTCAAGAGATTTCCAGGCTGTGCTCAGAAGAGGAGGTGGAGAATAGGAAAGCCTTCATGACAAGAGCAGGGTGAGGAGCTGAGAGTTTTTATGAATACCAGCTCAGAGACAAGAACTGGCAGGGAATCTGCATGCTTTCAAAAGCATGTGCAGCCACATTCCTACCCTGGAAGGACAAGTACTGAATGACCTCAATATGCACACAGGCATCCCTGTGCAGCAAGAGACAGTTACAGGTCAAAAAGCTCTGTGCTATTCTATAAAAGGATTATTGCACTGAGACCCAGCACACGTAACAAAGTTAATTTGAGTTAAGGCAAGAGTGAATGCCACCTCCTAGCATCTTACACCCAGACAAAAGCACCCCATCCTGATTCAATTTACTCCTGCTTCTCACATTGATTAAACTCCTTTAGATGAAGCATTCCTCTTGCAGTCTGGCAGCTACTCCCAAGAAATTCTTCTGAGAGGGGAGTTTATGGAGTAAAAGACCAACATAATGTCCTTAACATAACTCTCTGGGCCACAGCATGAAAGCATTTTGCAGTGATGATGCAGAGGACTTCAACATGTTGGTTAAAAAAGCCACTTTGCTATTTATTTAGCTGTCTTTTGATCCTAAAAAAAAAACAGTGACTGGGAAAAAATATTTATTCTTTTGATTAAGCACTAAAAAAGACTGCTTGTTGCATTCCTTTTTGAGTCTTTTTAGGTTTTACTGCTCCAAATTGCAATGGAAATGACATTTCTAGACAGAACAGTAAACAAGTAAACATGTAGTAACTATGCCATATAAGCTTTATACAACAGCAGAGAAGATGTGGCAGTGATTTTATGTCATTCTTGTGGCTTATGTACTTCTCTAAGTAACGGACCTCCTTTGGAGAGTTAGCACTTCCTTTACTACCAACTCAAAGGGGTATCCCTGGAAATGGTGCATTTGGGCTTTCACATTACAAAGTCAGTCCATTAGGTAGGACATGCAGCACCAGGAAATCCCTCTTTGATGATTATGAATATTTCCTTATACCCTATTGATTTCCACATAAATGTACAAAGCTTCAGATTTTAAACAAAAACATAGGAAGTCCTCATATTAAGAGGATTCTTACTCTAAAATATTTAGAACAAAAGAGTGAGAATTTTGGTATAGCTGCATCAGTGCAGATTTTCAATTAGTAAAAAATTTAACTCAGATCAATATAGTTTTCATTTAAATGGAAAAACAAGCAAAAATATTTTTAAAATAAAGAAAAATGTCATTAGGCCTTATGTATTTATGTAATTCTTACTTTTTTTGTGTCCAATACCTGCTTATTGACAAAGAAGGCACAGGGAAAATAAGGAGTTCGGTGCCACTGTTCCAGATTTGATACATGCGAGTTTGACAGTTCATTGACACTCATTTAGCAAAGCAGCAAAAAGGGGCATGAGAATTGCAGCTGGATATTTTTGAGTGGCAGATACCTTTGCATGTCAAGAAGGGAAATTAAGGAAGAATATAATGTTCTTTTCTATCTGGCTAATAGGCTCCACATGTATAATTCTATTACAGATCATTCTAGCATGCGATTTAGCAGGTTGTGCTGACAGTGCATCCTGCCACTCTGCCAAAGAAAGCACCCTGTTACGCTGCAGACAGTTGGCAAAGGCAGGATATCTCCAGGAGAGCACTGGGTGGAGAGGGAGAAAGGATTACTTAAGGAACGAGGACTCTTCTGCCAGGAAAATCTACTAAGAAAACAGTTAGGTAAGGCAGGTAAGGATGAGGGAGAAGCAAAGGCCAGTCTGGGCAGCACAAGAAAGGACGAGGGCAGGGTATCTCCCGAAGGGTGAGGTCCCTTCCAGATGGCTGACACTCACTGCTTGTTCCCTGGATGTCCTCTCCTTGAATCCCCAACTATAATTTGAAAGGAAGGACTTGCACAGCATTCCTGGAACAACACTGGCAGTTATCAGCCTTAGACCGCTTCAGCTAAACTTAATATGAGATGTTTGCAGTTTAGATGTTTACTTGAACACAAAAGCTGCTCAATAAGGCTAGTTTCTCTGGGAGTAGTGTTGGTGACTCACACACTGACCCACTTTCTGGTTCCCAGCCAGCAGCCAAGCACGAGGTTGGTGCTGTGGGGCCAAGACTTAGAGAAGAGACACAGCAAGTTCTTGTCACAGCCTGGCTGTTCTGTGCAGAGTGGTTGCAGCTATGCAGATGTGCCACAATGCTCCCAAAACACATTTCATATTTCCAAGGTTGCTAAATTTGTGCCTACGGCATGGACCTCGCTGTACATCTAATCTGTTTGAATGAAGCACACAATGTTTCATTATGACCAGCTAGTGAACACTAAGTCTGAATAGCTCAAGAAAAACATCTTCTCTAATAACATCAAACAATTAGTACATCTTTTCCTCTTCCACATCTGGCTATTCTTGAAGACTCATCTGGTAGCTTTGTACTTAGAGAAAGTAGTTGGTGTAAAGCCAGATATAGGCAGAGAAAAAAAGCATCAGAAAAACACTGAATAAAACCTCAGAAAGCAAATCTGCTGATCTGGATCACTTGAAATCTCAAGGAAGATGGTGGCGGTTTTCGACTTGCTCATTTGGCTTCTGTTTTTTTTTTTTTTTTTTTGCTAACAGATTTAATCCTGATATATCTGAGTTAGTATAAAGACTCTAGAGCTAAAGACACACATTGTAACCACAGGAACAGATCTTCCATTTCTAATGAGAAGAGGGTTTTGCAATTCACCAGGGTTGAGAGGACATTTTTTAGAGCATCAGTCTCAGGCAAGATATCCGTATATGCACAGTCAGTAGTACAAAATGTTCTTCCATTTAATTCTTGAGAGGTTTAAGACAATCTATAGGAAACATAGTGATAATTGCTATACCAGAAAATCTTGTAATATATTTCTGACTATTTCTCTGAAATCAATGTATTCAATTTAAAATTATTATTCATTGATTAAAGTAAGTTTTCACAAATACTTATTACATATAACATTTTGTCTTTGTTTATACAGAGCCCAAGCAGGAGACATGACTGTCATGTTTGACCATAGTACGGATAACAACAACGTTTCTTTTATTGTCCCTACATTATTGCTCCTGCTGCAAAACAAAAGCTACCCCAAGACCTCCCTCCCTGCAGCTGACCATGAGATGACAGAGTCACCCCAGGAGCCCAGGCCAAGCAGGAACCGCACTGTCTTGCAGTATGAGCTGAAGCCAGGGGAAATTGTATCAGCCAGCATGGTTTTTGGAGTACTGTGGATAATTTCCATCTTTGGAAACTCCCTTGTTTGCTTAGTGATCCACAGGAGCAGGAGGACACAGTCAACCACCAACTATTTTGTTGTCTCCATGGCTTGTGCAGATCTTCTCATCAGTGTTGGAAGTGCACCATTTGCACTGCTTCAGTTTACATCAGGCAGGTGGACACTGGGGAATGTGACGTGCAAACTGGTAAGGTATATTCAGTATTTCACTCCTGGAGTCCAGATATATGTGCTCCTCTCCATATGCGTGGATCGATTCTACACTATTGTCTACCCACTGAGCTTCAAGGTGTCGAGAGAGAAAGCCAAGAAAATGATTGTAGCAGCTTGGATCTTTGATCTTGCATTTATGTCACCAGTTTTCTTTTTCTATGGCTCCAATGAGGATGACCACTGCAACTTTTTTCTCCCAGGTTCCTGGGAAGCGGCCATCTACAGTATTATCCATCTCTTGGTGGTGTTTTTGACCCCATCCATCCTCATTATCTTATTCTACCAAAAGGTCATTAAGTACATTTGGAGAATAGGCACTGATGGCAGGACTGTTAGAAGAACAATGAATATTGTTCCAAGAACGAAAGTGAAAACTATCAAGATGTTCTTAATGTTAAATTTAGTGTTTCTGCTGTCCTGGCTCCCATTTTATGTGGTACAACTGTGGCACCCAGAGGAAACAGACTACAGAAAAAGTTCCTTGGTTTTCATGGCTATCACATGGATCTCTTTCAGTTCTTCAGCTTCTAAGCCAACCCTGTACTCAGTGTATAATGCAAACTTCAGAAGAGGGATGAAAGAAACTTTTTGCATGTCCTCCATGAAATGCTACAGAAGCAACGCATACACCATCACCACCAGCTCAAGGATAGCAAAAAAAAATTATGTCGGGATCTCAGAAATCCCAGCACCAGCCAAAACTGTAACCAAAGACTCAATCTATCATTCATTTAACAGGGAAGCAAAAGAAAAAAAGCTTGCCTGGCCTATTCATTCAAATCCTCCAAATACATTTGTCTAATTGGCTTAATGTCTTTGAATGGTGATTATGTACCATCAGAACAAAAAACTTGATCTCCTTTTTGAACCAATGTAAACACACTTGTTTTTACAACAACTTTTAGAGAGAGAGAGAAAAAAATATTTTATTAAATGCATTGCTTTTGATGTATTTAGTCTACATAATTTCAGCTACATTTTGCTTCTGTGAGTACTCTCCCTGAATCATGAGCATATTTGCTTTTTTACAAAAAAAAAAAAAACAACAAAGCTCTTGCATTTTCAGTTTGTAGGGTTAAAAGGGAAAAAAAATACCACAACATTTTAAATCACTTTGGTGTACATTGGCCACCATGTTTAAATATAAACTTACACCCAAAGACATCTCTATAGCCTTTTGTTATGCCCTTAAGAATATTGTTGCACTAGGGTTTTCCTTCTTGTTCAGACCTCATGGCTAAGATTTTTGTATGTGATAATGCTGGCAAAATGCTGAGCTGATTGAATTCAGCTACAAAATTTCCACTGCCTCTGTAGAGTCAGCATTGAGTGCTTTTGTATATTCAGCATTGCACTTCCAGAGAGGTCTAGTGGTAGAAGCAGCTTGAGAAAAGTCCTACCCCATGTATTACCCTCCCCAGCTCCTCTCTAGCCATGTCTACACCCATGCTGGTGTGCCTGATGAGCAGCCACAGCAGAAGAGGAGCAGCATCACCTGATCTGACCTCACCACCAAAAGTCCCCAGGCAATGGCAAAATACAGTGGGAAGCTCCAAAGTTACTTCCCCAGTGCTCAGCAACTGGTTTGGAACCGAAGTGCAAAGAACAAAATTCCTAAGTCAGCCTAGGAGGTGCTTGGCTGATTGTGCAGCTTGCCCATCTTGAGCTAAAAAAAAGTGGACATGTATACACTGTGGACATGTATACCATGAGTCAATTCATCCTAGATATTTACTTTTGAGGTTTGCTTAATCTGAGATACAGATCCACTCTTCTCATTAGGATTAGGTAACACCACTCTCAGTTTTCTGCTAAGATCTACAAGACTGGATCATTAAATCCACAGGAGAATGAAGAGGGGTGTTTTTTTGAAAACCAGTCTGAAATGGGCAGCTTTTACATCATGCTGTTATCAAACCCATTAAGAAGAACTGGAATGAGCCTGTGTGTTTGATATTGATTTATTTTCCTAATTCCTATTCTACTGCCCCAAACTACAGCAGCACACACAGAAAACATCATAGATAACAAAGTAAGGTGAGCACAAACAGCATTTGGTGAATTCCCCTCACTTTGATAGATCAGTGTGTTCACTTTCCCTCACCCTGGAGAGTTCCTGTGTTGTCTTATGAACAAGAGATTCTTGCTGGCTTCAGACCAGCAGTCCTGTTATTTCTTTTCCACACCGAAGATTTTCATCCTACTCAGTTATTTCCAACAGAAAACCTGCTTCAGAGTATGCTCTGCTTGGATCATCATAATGTACCAGCTAGGGTACAGCCCAGTATCTTGAAGATCAGATTACCAACATGCATTTCAAGATCAGGTCATCCCAAAAGCATTGTGAGTTCTTTGACCTTAGGCGTTCAACTAGGCAGAAGCCAGCTATGGGGCAGAAAATAACATGTTTCACATACCCTATTTCAAAATCTCCCTCTTTGAAAGATGCAACCTCAGTCACAAACTCTTCAGAGAATAAGTATCTTTTTCTTCTGATTTCAGAGCAAATGTAGCACAACCAGGCCTGAGGCCTGAAAGTCCTGTAGTAACAAAAGAAATAGAACAAGAGCAGCAAGTACTAAGGGTATATTAACCACAGTCATGCATCTCCCCTTCAGATCAGCAGAGAGCAGAAGCACATGTATCATTGAATACCGGGTGACAGAAGTGGTCTGGATGGACTCTAGTGCTGGAATATTGCGTAGGGAAACTCCTTTGTTGAGTAATATTCTTGCACGTATTTTAGAAATTTTCCTTCCCCCTAATCTACCGCACTAATTGTGGCTATAAGAACCCTTACTGTTTGTGGGAGCATTTCCTGTATATATTTCAAAAGTTCAGAAATCCCCATTAAATGAAGATTAGACATTTCTCATCAAAGTCATTAGCAAAAATCCCCATGTACTGGGAGAGCAGAGGACCTTAAAAATGAGACCATTTTATTCTGGGTGGTTCATGTTCCAGGCAAATTGTTTCTCCCTGAAACATCAGCATGTGCTGATAAGGAGCAGGGCTCAGATCACTGCTGCCTTGTGCAGGGACTGCAGCCCTCAGACTTTCTGCAGTAAAGAAAGGGAGGAAGAGATGAAGCCCACTTCTGAGACACCAAAACCTCCCTTGAGACAAAAAGTCTGCCAGACATCATTTTGAATATGAAACCAGAGGAATGCTTAGGTATGAAGCCAGAGACTTACATATAACTGCTCCTCTTCTGAACTTGAACCTATTTCCCCACCTTCCAGAAGCTGTAAAGAATCTAGAGGAGCAATGCCTGAACATCAGGTATCCATGTTCACATGGAACCTCTTCCTCTTCCTGTCCCACCAGTCCTGCACATTCTTGCCAGTCCTTGTCCTCTTGGTGTGCTGGGAGCACCGTGCCCCAGACAAGGCTGTCTCCACACTCCTGGCAGCTCCCATCCTCCTTAGGCAGGGGACACTGGTAGCTTTGTGCCATTGCCATAAATGGTTAAACATGGCATTGTGCAATAGCAGGGCTGAAGATGGAAAATACTTGGCAGCTTGATAGATGCTTACTTTGTAGCACCTTATTTTTATCTTTATTTCTATTTTTAAAGCATTGTTTTAGAAGAGGTGATGGATTGGTTTGATAACACCAGACATCATGTATCACTTAGTCTGCCAGTGCCCCAGGAGTGCCAGAGACTCAGGAGGGAGATCATGCAGTAACCAAGCAAGAAATGGAAAATGCATTGAGATTTGCTCGATCAATATGTATCTGTCTATAAGATGTCTAGATATCTATATCTACAAATCTTTCCAAACTCCTTCAAAATTCCTTACTACCAACAGCTGCTTCAGCAATAGCATAACAATAAAATTACTAAAGAGTGAGAGAATTTTAGGACTAAACCAAGCAATCCTATCCAGATAAAGGGACCTTTAAGGAATGTTCTTCAATGGGGAAATGACCAGGAACTGCCACTGGATCTTCATTCTGCTCTGGAGGTAGATGCTCCCATGCTCCAGGTGAGACTGGCAGGTCTGGTCAGTGTGCAGACACTTTACCTGTGGGTACCTGTGTGTGCCTTAGTGAATTGTGCAGTGAGGAGGAGAGGAGCCAGAATACACAGGCTGAAGCCAGCAGAATTTATTGTACCAAGCTTGACACCTAGCAAACCAAACTGCCTCATTTCACAAATATACCTCAATCATGTCTTCAAAGGAGCAGCTATGGGAGAAAGAAAGGGCTTCTGGACCTCCAGCCCATCCAACATTTATTCTTAAGAGTTTTCTGTGCAAGAATATGACCAGTGCCAGCCACTAAACATTTTTTTCCATTAGGTGGACACCCATCAAGTGGAAATTCTGTCATCACCATTTACTTTTGGTATTAAGTATGTTGTCCTTACAAATCATCAAATTGTGGCCCTCCATTTTATTTCAGGAAAAAGTTTTATTTTCTGTTGAATGCATTTAAAAAACGTCCAGATTGGGAATGGGAGGCAGTGAGAAACAGAGGCACATACCACTTAGAACTTTTTCAACCAGCATCCCAGAGGGGATAGCAAAGTGGCAGTTACCCATAATTACACCTGAAAGCATTCATATGTCTGGTTAAGAATCTTCTGAATTTGTCATTCTCATCTCAACCAGTTTCATATCACAGTTAACCGACATTGATTTAGCAGTTGTTTTTCTGAAGTGTCAAATGCATGCCATCAATTTCAGCTGCAATTCTGAGTGCTCAGCCTTTCTGAATATCAGATCCTTCCAGTTCAAACCAAGTAGATTTGAAGTATATTAAATCCAGATCTGTACACTTTTAGAGAAAGGGTTATTAGTTCCTTAAGTGATTCTGTAAGTTAATATACCTTTACTAGTTGGCTCTTTACAACCTCACAAGTATTGTGGAATAGGCCATTATAAATTACAGGAGATTTATTTGAACTGACTTCTAGTAAAACGTAACAAACCTACTGAAAGACTGTTATATAAATGTCACCTTCTGGCAAGCAGTTTGAATTAAAACATGGTTTTATTCTACACTACTGCTAATGCACACACAAGTCTTTTTTCAGTCTTCTCACAAAACGGGCCTCTGGATAAAATTCAAAAGTGGCACAGACATCACTCAGTCCTTTGTGTTCAGAATCTCAGGCATTTTAGACCAGCTCTTGATTTGGTCCTAAATTTGCAAGGGAAGGGAGAAAAAAACAGAGAAAATAAAGACTACATCACTAAATAATTTCATTTATCCTCACCTCATGCCCAGCCAGAAACTAGCCTTTCACTGCATGTATAAGTGTGAGTAAGACAGGAGATATTCTCACCTCCTTGATTTGGGAAAGTGAGGCGGGATTATCAGAAAATTTATCTTTCTTAAAGTCTTGTAGAATTAGACACATTAAGCAGCAGAGGTTGCAAGTGAATGGGTCTAAGTATCTACCTTATTTCCTCTGACACTACAGCACTGCTCACAGATTTCAGTTCAATTCTGTAGATTAATCATCTCCACTGCAATATGTATTCTGCAAAGTCCCTCCCCATATTGATCCAAATACAGGAACTGCAGCAATTATATGATATTCAGAGTTATCAAGACTTCAGATTATTTAAAAATTACCTGTCTGTGTAGCAGGAGTAGCATCAAGTTTGCTAACTTGCAACATTGTTGGGAGTGGATTTGCTGTATGGGTTTCTGCAGAGTCCGAAACACATCGTCGGATTGATCTTTCCTATTAACCCAGGGCATCCATCTTCAAATTAAGTATTGGGTTTTTATGATTTTTTCTTGAAGAAGAGGGATGTTGTGGACAAGATCTTTGTCTTACCAGGAGTT